TATATATATATTGCTGTCAGGTTTTTTTCTCTCTTTATTTTGCTCTCGCGACGATTTGTAAAAAACTTTTGGCATGGCTTGCGACACCACTGGCTTACGTAATTATTACGGGATATTAAGAGCATGTTCTAACAGTAGGAATACGAGTATAAATGCGTCGAATGTTTCGTCATGCGACCGGTATCGACCGGAAATAAAATTATCCTTAATTTATCTGAATATATTGCATCGCGTTGTTTAGAGCGTCGTTTCATCTGTCAAAACGTTCAAACGACGCGAGACCGTTATTAATTGAGAGCCGCGATGTTGCCTTTGATGAATTTGAAATCGTTGTGTCTCTATATTTAAACGCGAGCTGCACGACGGAACTTCCGTGCCGTAAAACGGGGGGTACTGTTACACGAGAACAATTGCGCGTCACATTAAAAGGAAAGAGAGGAGAGGGGAAAAAAAAGAAGATTTTATTCTTTTCTTCTTAGACTCCCTCTCCGGTTAACTTCGGTCATGAATCGTGAATTACACGTCACAAGTTACGTTGACTTAGGCCGCGCCGTCTGAGACCCTCACAACTTAGGAAACTTAGGAATCTCACGGAAATACTCAGTGAGCTCTACTTTTAATGAGTTCACTTGCAAGTTGGAATAACGAAAACTCAATTTCACTCGCATAAAGGAGCAGTGTATCCATTTTACCTTTCAACCGCACATTTTTCCTCCGTGATTCGCATTCGTATGACAGAGTCAACCCCCCCCCCCCGTCTTAGGGCAGGAGAGATGTACAAATTCGATTTACTTCGAAACCGAAAAATCTCCTCCGTCGTGATTCGCGTAGAATGGAATTCGCGTATCTTTATTACTCCTCGTAGAAAACGAAAGGATATGAGGCAATTGACAATGCATGCATTGATTCGATTCGATTCGATAATTATCAGTTCTAGGGATATACCCGAAGGCATTTTATTAACATGCTCCGCTATACTTCTCGAGGTATTTTTGAACACAGCACCCTAGCGGAGAACGAAATATACTTGGTGAACGTTCACATAATTACCCCCTAGAATTGGCTAGACGCGCCAAGTTAGACGTGTACATGTGTCTGTGTATCCATCTGTGTACGTATGTGTATGTAGGAAATATTCAATGAATATACATTACTTTGTAACATATATTTACAAACACATAGTTATTTATTTTAGAAATGTACGCGAGGGAAAACTTACTTTTAGTATTTGTAAAATACCGCTTCCGCCGCCTTCCGGCCTGAGATTTGGCGAGCCTCGTGAAAACGGGCGCTCGAAGGAGAGAACGGACACGCTCCTAATTAACATACTCTCGATATCTCTGCTTTAACAGTCCTTATAGATTGTATATTTACACACATACACACTTTCTCTCTCTCTCTCTCTCTCTCTCTCTCTCTCTCGCTCTCTTTTTCTCTTTCTCGCTTTCTCTCCCTCTCTTTGTAAAACATTTGTTAGCCGACGGAGACGCTTATAAATCATTTCTTCAAAGGGTTCTCGCAGCCATGAACGAAGAATACTTTACAAGTTGGAAATCACTGTAACAGTCGACAGTTAAAATCTACTTTCCGATCCACCGCGGCTAACAAATATCTTTGAAATTTTTTTTTTTTTTGTTTTCCTGTAATTTGTGTTGTAAATGTAAATATCTCGAAGGTATATATATATATATATATATATATATATATTCGTTAATTAATTAACCGCATTAACTAGAACTAGTTCAATGTTTCAAAGTCGCGTCACAAAAATATTCTTCGGTCGTACTAGGAAATATTTAAACAATATTTGTTCGCTGCTAGGGTTCTACCTACCCTCTTTCCCGCTCCCTCTCCCCCCCCCTCCCCCTCCCCCGAAAAACGATACGCTATATCGATTACATAGACAGACGACTCCCGTCCCTCCCTACCACTTCCCTCGACTACGTTCCTTTCGAAACTGCGTGTACCGTGTCACGGATGTGTACCAAGTTTTTCCCTCTCGTTCGCTTCACCGCAATGTTTGTTATACGCTGCGTCACTAATGAGATACAAGATCTATTGACTGACGTTCAAGTAACTAAGTGTGCTCGATAATATCGCGCGCAAATCCATACATTTACTCCGTTTAGGTCTAGAACCAAACAACGACGAGTGAGACGAGCAGATAATGGGATTTTCGGTGACTTTGAGTCTCTCTTCGAGCTCGCGATAGACCTCGTTAAACTTCGAGTTCGTTTCCTTTATTTTATCTTTTTTATTTTCTCTTTTATATTTTCTCCTTCCGTTTCGCCTTTTCTTACTCTTAAATAATCGTCGTCTTTAGAAAATATCTCTCGTGTGTATTATAGAAAAAGTCTTACCTTTATTTTCGTCGACCGTCGTCTTTCTCGTATCTCGTTGAGAGAGTTACACGATTCGAGCATTATTATTATTACTAGAGCGTTACGTTATCCAATTTTCTTTTTTTTTTTTTTTTGTCCTCGTCCACGCTTTACCGTGATATATCGAGTGCAGTAGAGCGAGGACGCGAGAGACGGAACGAATAATTAATTAACCCGGCTGTGCGGTGGCGCGGTATAACGGTATTCCAAGTCCATCGTCATTCTTATAAATAAATCAACGAAATGGTAAAAACCGTCTGAAATACGTACGTTTCGATTTAACGATGCATTATCGCGAACAACGTCGCCGACCGCTCGCTCGGGGCGCAACAATCTAAAAAGACGCTCTCGCGAAACGCGAGATTATCTATAATTAACTTAGATAATAATCGATCTAACACGTTCTACACGATCGATGATGTCCTTAAGGAGAAACGTGAATTTCGCGCGTGCCGGCGCGGTGAGGAGAGCCGAGGAGGCGTCAGGTCGTCACCGGCTTGGCCGTTAGAGGTACTCGACGATGTCGCACTTGATGGATATATTCGGGCAACTAGCTATATTCGAGCGATAGCCCCGTCTGGCAGTGCTCTTGTGCCGCTCGGTGAGGAGCTTCTGAAAGATCGGCAGAATTGTCAGATCCAGCAGTTCACCGTCCGATACGGCGCTGTACATCTTTGACACGTTCACCGCGGAACCACCTGCAACCGAGGACATCAAGGTCGAGGACTGTCTCAACAACGCTGTTCGTGGCTCTACTTTATTGCATCCACATCAAAATCTAGCACACTCGACGTTATCCAAACATATAACACACAACTTGTTATGACAGCCATTCCATTTTGACGTTATTGTAACTTGTTGTTACGCTATATCCTTCATTCTTGAAGGCAAACATTCAAAATACACGAAATGCATTAGACTGATGTCCGAGTAGACGTATACGTACATTCAGTGTACATCACGTGTATTAGAGTGCACCGTTAATCGGCCTTAACGCTCGAATAATGAAGGTATGAATATTTCGTGAGGCTTGGGTAGGTAATTATCCGATGCATTCAATTAGCCGTATATCAATAACTTCACTGCGTAATTATACTGCTATCCGGACATGTTATATACTTTATTAATTGTTGGCGGCAATTCATTTCGTTATTAAACATTCGTCACTACTTTAATCTAAGTATATCTTTAATTTACGTCTCACGCGAGATGTGATAGCTGCTGAGCACATATATTAATATATATATATGTATATATATAGACTCGAATGCAATGAATTTATTTGTTACCAATATTTTAAAATTTAGTTTAATATCAGGAAATCAATATCGAACAAATTAATAACATATATTAAACATTACAGTTCTCTAACTTTTATTTTCCATTATTAATCTGATGTCTCAAACATTTTTGCCTTTTTCTTTTTGCAGAGAAAGCAATTTTTTGTACTAGATTTTGACATAAATGCAACACTAATTTTGTATAGCAAGAAATCTGCGGTATCTCAAAATATTGCAATAATTTTATGCAACTCCAAGACTTAATTATTATCGAAGATTGAGTGTGCGTTTGTACGACCATAGATTTGTTAAATCAATAGGGTTTCTAATTGTTGGCGAATTTCCTTCTTGCAACCGTAAAATTTAATCCTCGGTACACACGATAATTTTATTTCTTTCTAATTTAGTCATTTTCTTACATATACTTCAACATTTTTTTAAAGTATTTGTAAGTTGTGTAATTTGAAGACCTTGTATATATTTTATTATAATTTAACACCCCTAATTTTTTGAAAAAAAAAAAAAAAAAAAGAAATGTGCAAAATACGGAATTGTTGCCCAATCGTGTCTAAGGATGAATTGTTATGGAAAACTGATATAGATTTGCCAAATCATTAGGGCTCCTCTAATTGTCAGTGAACTTGCTTCTTCCCGTGCATTCCCGTGGAGAATGAACGCGCGTTCTTGAACGTTTAGTATTCCGCGAATGTCCGACGCTGTATAAGCGTATACAGGAGCTTAATGAAGGAAACTGAGAGACGGTACCGTTCACGTCGCCGCTTCCATCGCGCGGATTCGCCGCGACGTGCTTGCCGTTGTGCATCGTCGCCACATTCGGGGTGCTCTGCACGTACTCGAGCCGCGCTTGATGGCGGAGCTTCGAGCCCGTGTGCCGGCACATGCGGCGTGCGACGCGGTGCGAGCACTCGACTATGGGGTGGCCGCTGCCGATGTGCAGCCGCAGGCACTTCTCCCGCGTGCGCTCCGACATCGAACGCTGGATGATCGTCGACATCGGCTCGTCGTACTTCCCTGTCAACAGAATACACTCGCCGTATCGCTCCGCGTCCGCGCGCAGTGTCTCGAGTTCTACGAGATTATCTAAGAGAGATCCAGACAAACAAATCAAATCTCGGTAGAGATATACTGCGGACGCCGAGCGACCTCAATCATAAAGTTGGAACACAGACGTGCTGTTCAAATAACAATAGTTAGTCTGCTGGTTTGCTGGCTTGCTGGACTCGCAGAATAAACAGACTCATAAAAATTTCGCGTAGTGTACGTGCTCGCAGAGTTAAAAAAAACAAAAAGTCAAGTTAAAAAGGCTCAATAAAAACACGCGAATAAAAAAAAAATCAATCCGTAAAATAATTCTTTCTTTCTTTTTTTTTTCCCCCACGCGTCGCGTAAATGGAAGTAAGCAAATCAATTGCTTTAACAAAAATTGCTTTCAGCTTGAAGATATTTCAACTGACCTGAATATTTACCAAACTTTTTTTTTTTTATTCAGTTTAGTAAATATTGTATAAATACAGTCTAGCTTGTAAAGTCTGAATTCTTTTTGAAGCTCTTGTATGTATTTTCGCGACGTTTGAGAAATTTATACTTTTGAAAGACATTTCACGATTGTGTGCGCAACGACTGAAGGTATAAGAATTATTTTTTTGTACAAATTTTATTTATATACGTGTGCCATACTAAGGATCCTTTAATAAGACTCTGGATTTGAGAAAGCCACTTCCGATTAGTCCATCATGTTTTAACAATTCCCTGAGAGAGGACGAGAGTAAAGTAAATAAGAAAAAGATAAAACAGAATAAGAAAGAGAAAGAAATAGTAAATATATATCCTTCTCGTAGATATTTGTTAAAACCATTATCTGCGTACAAAACTGGGG